CCCCCCCCCCCCCCCCCCCCGCCCGCTGCGCCTGGGGGATCGGCCGAAAAGGCGCCCATGGGCGCCAGATGGCTGACCGATCTGTGGCAGCCCTAGTCCTCCGGCCCGCGCCTCCACAGCACGGTCCGATTGCTCGCAGCACACTAGTCCGATCTGGGAGCCCCTCCCCGCCCCGGGCAGGCTCCTAGTCCGAGCCCGCCTCCTTCGGTGGTCCGCACGACCGGGCGTGGTGTGCCTCTAGTCGCCGGTACATGGCAGAGGCTACTCCGGCCGGATCGCGTTGGTTCCCGTGCCATGCCGCTGCGCCGGGAGCCACACACTCTCGGAGGGAGGGAAGGCGGCCGAGACAGCGCGGCCCGTGGACCCGAGCCGATGTCTGCCCACTTGCCCGGCACTTTTCGGCCTTCACCCCGGTAGCTTGCTCCTCTCACAGCCATGAGACCTCCTCGCACTTCCCTGGCCGACATCCACTCCCGCCCGGACCGCGTCGTCGCTTGTCCCTCTTCCTGCTCGTTCGCCGTTCACACCACCGCCCAGGCCACCACTTGTCACCGGGATCTCCTCGCCCCTTCCTCTTGCCTTCCGTTCCCCCTCTTGCTCCTCTTCTTCTTGCCCCCACCCTTCTCCCCCTTCTCCTCCACTCCGTCCCTTCCCCTCTGGTCTTCCCTTTTCTCCTGCCCTCCTTCGCCACTCCTCCTCCTCCTCCTCCTCCTCCTCCTCCTCCTCCTCCCCCACCACCCCCTGCCCCAAGCGCGAACAGGAGCTAGACCCGGGTAATCCCGGTCGGGTGCCGGCCTCTTCCGTTGGTGGACTCCCCCTCTTCGTCCATGGTTCAGTATGATCTCCCGCTGCCCGGCGACCGGCCCAGCCTGGAGGCTGTCGCAGCCCATCCTGGCGATCCGTACCCCCACCACCCCCACCAACATCACCCTCACCAGCACCAGCACCAGCACCATCCCCACGCCTACCACCAGCACCACCAGCACCATCACCACCAGGCATCCCCGGGGATGACCATGCCGTCGGGTGTGCCCGCCACTCCGACCCCGGCTATGGCCTTGGCTTCGTCAAGTAGCCCACTCACCGCCGCCCCAGCTCCGGCACCGGTGCCGGCGTCGACCTCCGCAGCCACTGCCGCCCCATCGGACTCGGCTCCCTCCCGGCCGCCGCCGCCGGTACTCGCCGGTCGCATCATCACCGATACCTTCACCCACCGCCGCTTTGTCCTTGGTGACTTCCTGGGCGAGGTGCGTCTTTGACTGGTGCCATCTCTGGCCCCGACCCCCTCCCCCCCATGTGGCCGTGCCTGCCCATGCATTGTCCTTCGCTGCTCCCCCGGGACGCTTGATGACGATCTTACTCACCCATGATGCCACGCATCCCCCCACGCCTTCCCCGTTTGCCCCTCTCGCCTCGCCCCTCCCCCCCCCCTCCCCAGGGCGGCTTCGCGCGAGTCTACCAAGTGACCGAACTCCACGACCCCGCACACTATGACCAAGTGGCCGAGGCCGTGGGACATGCTCCAATCACTCACTCCAGCGGATACCTGCTGGGCCGGTCCTTTGCGGCCAAGATCGTCGAGCGATCGACCCTCCTGAAGCCACGCACCAAGCACAAGGTTCGTGCTGCCCCATTGTTTTTTCTTTCCCCGCCTCCCCCTCCCCCCCCTCCCCTTGTGCCCCCCTGAGTGTGTTTGTGTTCGCTTTTGTCGATGCATCCTGCCCCGCCCTGACACAGCTTCCACTGCTCCGCTTCGTGCTTCAGCTGAAAATGGAGATCTCCATTCACCGGGATCTGCGGCATCCCAACATCGTGCAGTTTGATTCGGTCTTCGACGACCAGACGAATGTGTATCTCCTGTTGGAGCTTTGCACCGGTCGAGTACGTGCACTTCTCTTCACTTGGCTGGCTGGCCGCCTGCTTACCTGGTCGTTCGGCTGACATGTCATCCCAGTCCCTGCTTGATCTCCTTCGCAAGAAGCGGCGCTTTGGCGAGGAGGAATGTGTGCCGCTGCTCCACCAAATTTTGGACGCCATCGAGTACCTTCACCGGGCAAAAGTCATCCATCGCGATCTGAAGCTGGGCAACCTCTTCTTGGCCGCCGACTCGTCCATCAAGATCGGGGATTTCGGCCTGGCCACGCGCATCAAGTTCGATGGGGACCGAAAGCTGTGCGTATTGTCGCTGGCCGCATGGCTCCACTTGTTTTTCCCGGCTCTGCCGGCACCTGTCCGCTTTTGCATCTCCCTGTGCTCTCCTCCTGTGCTTCAGTCTCTCTCTCTCTCTCTCTCTCTCCTGCCCCTCTCTCCTGCTCCTCTCTCCTGCCCCTCCTTTTTCCACACTCACCCATCCACTCATCCTCTCCTTCTCGGTATCTCCTCTTGGGGTCAACTTAGAACCCTGTGCGGCACGCCGAATTACATCGCCCCCGAGGTCCTTGGCACTGGCCCCCTGCCCGGGGCCACGTCTGATGGCACAAAGCAAGCTGCCGGCGGCCTGCCCCCGGCACCTGTTGGCAACCCAAATGGCCACAGCTTCGAGGTGGACATCTGGTCCTTCGGAGTCATCCTGTATACGCTGCTGGTGGGCCGGCCGCCGTTTGTCACCCGGAGCGTGGAGCTCACGTACCAGCGCATTCGCAACAATGACTACGAATTCCCGCCGATGCAACTGTCCAACGCCGCCATGGACCTCATCCGAGCCATCCTCAAGACCAACCCCGATGAACGGCCGAGCATCCAGGAAATCCGCGACCACCCGCTCATGCGTCGCTATCCGCATCCACTCCGACCGGATGATGGGCTCCTGCGTGCGCGACTGGCCGCCCACCACCAGCACGGGCACCCCGGGGCCGGGGCCCTCTTGGTTCCAGCTGGGCTTCCCACGCCGGCGGGTGGGTACTATTACCACTCGGGCGAGGGCCCGATGGCGACGACCCGTGCCACGCCGGCGGCCCCGGCCACGGCCGCCAGCCAGCCGGCATCCCCTGCTGCGCAGAATTTCCCGCTGGCCATCACGCCGGGGTCCGCCGCGCGGCCCTCCTCCGCCCTGCGCTCGAGCCTGACGGCTCCGCTGTCCTCCGCGAGTTCTTCGGCCGCCGGCGCGACGGCCTCCCCCGCCGCCCTGCCCGCCGCCGTGGCTGCCTCCAAGCGTCTCTTGGCCGAGGGAACGGATGCCTCGGCTGCCAGTGGGCGTGGCACCCCGGGCGACGTTCGGACGCCGCTTCTTCCGGTTGGCGGCCAAGCCGGCACCGCCGGCGGTGTCGGCATGCCGATGACCCCGGTGTCAACCGGCGCCGCGGCTGTCACCCCGGCCAAGCCCCCTTCCGGTGCGCTGGCCACGCCGCTGGTCCGGTCGGCCGGAAGCCCCCCCTCCTCGGCCGGCATCCTGTCACCCCTGCAGCTGGCCCTGGCCGCCCAGCAGGCCCGTTCCCCCGGGTCCGGGATGTCGGCCACCGCCGCCGGCACGACCCATGCCACCTCCCAGGGCTGCCTGCTGGGGTCCTACTCGCCGCTGCTGGTCAGCAGCCCGGGGCTGCTCCTCGGGTCGTCTCGGTCTCCGGTTGCCGAGGATTCGCGTGGCTCGCCATCGCCGTCGGCCGCGGCAGCAGCTGCCGTGGCGGCGGCCCGAGCAGGCTCCCGGCCGGGGGCCACTTCCTCCCTGCGTGCCTCCATCTCTCGGAGCGCCGGTGTGGCCAAGGCTTCCCTCCGGGGCGTTGACCGCTCGGGCCCGGCCACCGGCACCACTCCTGCCTCCGCCGCCGGCGGCTTGACCGTCGCCACTGCGGTTGCCCCTGCCGTCGGCGCCGGCGCCGGCGCCGGCGCCGGCGCCCCCTCCCCGGTCAAGCCGGTTCTCTGGGTGGATCTCTACCAAATCATGTTGCGCCAGGTGCAACTCATTCTCGCCCAGTCCGATCGCGTGCACCAGCGGTTCTCCCCCTCGTCCGCCATCATCCCCCAACCGTGGGTGGTCAAGTGGATCGACTACTCCGGCAAGTATGGGCTCGGGTATCGGCTGTCCAACAGCGTCACCGGGGTCCTGTTCAATGATCACACTTCTCTCCTCCGAAGCGATGACCTCCGGCGGAATGTCTATCTGGACCATACCACCCAGGAGCGCCGGCACTTCCCTTGCGACACGGTTCCCGAGCCACTCGCCAAGAAGACGCACATCCTCAACTACTTTCATGGATACATGGAGGACTGCCTGCGCGATCAGATTGGCACCTCATCGACGCCGGTCGCCGGGGCCGGGGTCTACGCACCGGGCTTCGCTCCTCAAGCCCAGGCGGCCGATCTGCCGATGGTGGGCAAATGGTCGCGAACCGAGCATGGGATCCTTTTCCGTCTCAGTCACGGTCTTCTTCAGGTATGTTCCCGGCTATCTCCTCCGCTTGCTCCGCCTCTCTTGTTGCTTTCTTCGCTGCTCCCGCCCCCGGCCTTCTGACTTTCCCCACCAATTCTTTCCTCACCGGCGGGCTCTTCTCTCTCCCTCTCTCTCCCCCTCTCTCCCTCTCTCTCTCTCTCTCTCTCTTCCGGTGTGTGTGTGTGTGTGTGCCGTCGCAGATCAATTTCACCAATCACTTGAAGGTGGTCTTCGTCCCGGCTTGCCGACGCCTGTACATCGTGTACCCAGACCAGTCGTGCATGGAGTTCCACTTTTCCAAGGCCGACGGGTCCCTCGAGGCCGAGGGTCCCGGCTGGACGCGCAGCGCCTCCCTCCCGGCCGATGCTGCCCGATCGCTGGCCGGCTGTCAGACCATCATTGCCGGGCTCTGTGCTCCGACGTCCTCCGGCAGCGGCGGTCCTGCGTCCCCGGTACCGGCTTTCCGTTCGTCGTCCACCGCCGGCTCCACCGCGGGCGCCGCCATGACCGCGGCCGCCACCACCCCCACCACGGCCCCGATCGCCGGCGCTGGCCCCGATGCCAAGATGTCGGGATCCAGCGGCGCCTTGGCCTCCAGCAATGCGGCCCGCCTGGGCTCCGGGCCTGGGCTTTTCCACTCGCCACAGCCGGTGCCAACGTCGGTGGCCATGATGGCCCCCTCCGGCGGTGATGCTCGTTCTCCCCCGTCTCTACGCTCGTCGCAGGACACGGCCTCCATTTCCTCGTCGTCATCCTCTTCCTCTTCGTCGAGCTCCTCACCGGCCTCCTTCTGATGGGGACGGTCTGTCCTGCTCGCCGTTTGCTTGTTCCTTGGCCCTCCCCTACCGGCTGCTCTCCTCGTTGTTTGAAGCGCCGGTGCGCTGTGCGTCTCCGCTCATGCTTGCAGCCAGGAGGGCGGGCCAGTCTCGGGACGGCTTTTGTCCTTGTTGCCCTTGTGTGCCTCCTCATGTTCCCCCGGGATATTTCTCGATCCTCCCCCCCCCCCCTCCCCCTCTCCTGCCCTTCCTCCCTTGTCCTCCTTTTTCAGAGAAGCTGTACCATACAACACATCCTTTCTACCACCCGTCTTTCATGCTCGTGCTCCCCTCTGCGTGTCGCCCCATGATGAGAAGGAAAGACCTGTCTATTGGAGTGGCCAGCCTGGTGAGGCATGCCGGGGAGGGCGGATCCTTGGAATGGGGGGCCATCATTGGCGCCCCCCTCCCCCCAGCCCAGGACTTCCCCTTCTCATGTCTGGCGTGGCACCCGAACGCCGGAGTTGGAGGACACGGACAAGGAGGTGATTGCCTCAGCCGGGAGGGAGGTGACCATGCCTGGCCGCCGAGGCGAAGAGCCGGCCTTGTCGGTGAGGTCGTGCACTGGAGTGCCATCGTCATCGGTCGGGTCCTCCTCGGTGCCGAGGGAAAGCATGGCCCGGCCGCGGTTCCGCCGCTTCCGAGGGGTGGCCGTCATCATCGACACAAAGTCCCCGGGCTCAGGCAGGTCAGAGCCGGCCAGGTCCACAGGCGAGTCGGTGAATCGACGCCGGGCACCGGCCATGGCGGCCTCCCCCGACCGCGGGTGGGAATTGTGGCCAGAGCGCTGGCGCTTGACCGGGCCGGCATTCGTGCGAGCCAGGGGCTGGGTCTCGGCCAGCTCGAAATCGCTTCCCTCCGAGTCTGATGCCGAGGCCGAGCTTTCCTCGTCCTCGGTCGAGTGAGGGGAAGCAGCCGCCGGATTGTCCGGGCCTTTGCCGGGGGATGCCGGCGCCGGTGCGGCTCGCTTGTGGCTCTTGTGCTTCCTGAAGGAAGCCGTGTCGCCACTCTGCAAATACAGCGACACGGATTCCGGCTTGTCAAACAGGATCTGCCCGACGCATGCGCAAAGGAGACGGTCAATTGCATTGGCACTGGTGTGCGTTGTCGATGCGGCCTTGGGGAATAAAGCCCCCCCGCCCCTCCGGACCCTGGCAAAGCGCGCACCTCGAAGAACATAGACGGCGAGGCACGCCACCGCTCGAAAAAGCAAGCCACCAGGAAAGTCAACACTTCGGTGTGGGACTTGCTGGTCGCGTCATCCCGGAGAGCCAGCAGCTCGAGAACACTTTCGGCGGTGCAGAGGAAGGTAAGCTGGCCAAGGGGCGAAGGGGGGGGGGGGGGGGGAGGAGGAAGGAAAGAGGGTCAGTCGGGCTGGGCAGGCGTCAGATCGCAAAAGGGGAAACCCCGACGGCAGGGGATACCTTGTACAGCAGGGGCCGATAGCTGGGCAACATCTTGAAGATGGTGTAGAAGGTCCACAGAACGGCCTGGTTCACCAGGGGCGTGTTGTATTGGTATCGGTCCAGAACCTCGATGTACCGGTCCATGATGGCATCCGTGCAGAAGCTCTGTGGCCGGTTGTCACCGAGGGCCGAGGGGGAGCAGGGGACACTGTGTGAGTTGGCTGTGGCAAGCCTCCGGCGAGGAGGGGCGATGGGAAGGGAGGTACAAAGGAAAAAGAAAAGAAGAAGGCACGCAGAACAGCCACAGGCACAGACCACCGGGCTGCCCCACCACGACGATGAGGCCATTTGCATACCTTGAGGAAGCCGCGGAAGGTTTGTTCCTTCTCGCGCTGGAGACTGCGCTCGGTGGCGGACCGGGGGTCGTCACTGGCTGGCCGGTTCTCGGGTGGCTCCTCGCTTTCGGAGTCGGAGCCGCCCGGCCGCGGGGTGTGGCGCGCGCGCGGGCGCGAGGCGGCCATGTCCGAGCGTCTTTCCATGACGATGATCGAGGGCCGGCCCTTGCTGTATACTTCAAGCAGCTGCAGCAGGCGCAGCACCAGCACGGTGATGTCCGCCAGAAGTGCCCTGCGCGCGCGGGCAGAGCCGGCGCAGAGGCGAGACCGATCGCGAGCCATGTGTCAGAAAGCATTCAAACCCAATGCCAGCAGAGCGGTCAACATACGGATTGCCCGACCGGGGGAAGCGCTGGAGCATGTCATGTGCCATCGGGAGGAGGACATTGTTGAAGTAGATCTTCCGCTGGAGGGCTTCGGAGAATTGCTGCATGGTCCGCGAGCCCTTGAGCATCACGCCCAGGAGGTTCAGCTGGAAGGGGCAAATGGCGGTCGCAGCAAGGTCAGAGGCAGTCCGCCCGCCCCCCCCCCCCCCCCCCCCCCCCGGCAAAAGAGGGCGCCTCTCGAGCGAGGCAGCATAAGCATTGCAATCAAAAGGCCGGGCAAGGCGGTAGCCCGGGCGGGACACGGCGAACCAGGGCGCACCATTTCCGAATAGGCCAAAACCGCCGCATGCGTGTTGGTCCAATTGACGAAAGACATGCCGTAGTCGGTAATGTGCTTGTCCTCGACATACAGGTGGCGGATGCGCTCGGTCAGGAAGGTGAGTGAGTCGTTGCTGAGGAAGCAGGCCAGTTGGCGGAAGAGCACATCCGTGGGCGGATGCTCGGGCAGCTGCGAGGGAGGCAGCGTTGCCGGCGAGGTATGGGGGCCCGGCTGGCCGGCCTGCTGTGCCCGTGCTTGGGCCCGAGCGGCTTGCTGGGACCGGCGGATCTCGTGTGCCGCATGCGCCGCCACAAAGGCCGCCATGTAGTGCCAGAGCCAGATAAATTGAACCAGCTCGCCGCGATTTGGGCCGATCTCGGTCGTCCGATGGCGCTCCATGAAGAACCCGACAAAGACTGCCCGTGCACATATATGCCTGGTGTGAGTGGGTGTTCGTCCCTTGCCCGGTCTCAAGCGCCGTGGTGCTAGGTGCTGTCGCCATTCCGCCCAAGTGCCCTGCTCCGCCCCCCAGCTTGGCTTGGCTTGGCTTGGCTTGGCTTGGCTTGGTTTGGATGGTGTGCGTGTGTACGTGACAAAAAGTGCGCTCTACGCACCACGAAAGTTGGACCGAAGAAACAGTTGCAGCGCCTCGGCCAGGATCCCGACGGCCTTCGCGTCGAGAGTGGTCTTCCGGACTCCGAGATCCTTCGGGGAGGTTCACGCGTGCGTGCGTGCGCGCGGGCACGGCCATTTGCGCATCCGGCTGGTAAGTGGCCAGCCCCCAGGGGACAGGTGAGGGCCTCCGCAAAGGCACATTACATACCTGGGATTGGGCAATCTTGATGAATGGGGCAATGCGACGGGCCTTGTCCTCATCGAAGTTCTTGCCCCGCAGGCTGCCGCCGGCCGTGGAAATGGTCATAGCGCTGTTGGCCTATCCAGGGGGAGGGAGGGGGGAGGGGACGAGACAGAGAGAGAGAGAGAGAGAGAGAGAGAGAGAGAGAGAGGGAAAGCACTAATGTGTGAGGATGCAGTGAACCGGGAAGCGGATCCGGAAGGAGCGAGGGGATGGGGGAGGAGGATATGCATGTGAAGGAGCCCCAGGGCGGTCGAAGCCGCCTGCCGGCGGGAGAGAAGCAGCAAGACCGACATGCAGCCACACATACCGAGCTCTGCAGGCGGAAGGTCCCGCTGAAGCGGGCATGCCGCGAGCCGCCAGGCGACCGACCTGGTGAGCTGGTCTCCTGTGCCAGGGCCGCTTGCAGGCGGCTGTCGAGGGCACTCGCACGCCGAGGGGTGGTCGGCGGCTCGGCACCAGGGGCAGTGGCCCCGGTGGATGGTCTCCGGCCCGGGGTGGCGGTGGTGGTGGGCGGAGGGCTGGCGGTCGGATTCGCCAGGTGGTCGGCGAGGCAGGTGGGCTGCGCGCCGGCCAGCAGGGCAGCCAGCGTCTCCAAGATGACCGGGGCCACCAGATCCGCATCGGCCAGCTTGACACGATCGGTTGAGGCCTGCAGGGCAAGGCGATCGGCCTCCAATCGACCAGGCTCGCAGGCCCCCATGAGCGAGGCAAACATCTCCATCAGATGGGCCTCACGCATGCGGACCACCAGCAGCCCGGCCAGCGGGGTCCCATCGAAGGCCCGGTCGGTGCTGAGGGTCCCGCGGCGGCCCTTGGCCAGGGGAACCGGCGGCGGGGAGTCCGAAATCCGGGCCAAATTCCGCACCACCAGCAGGCAGTTCATGCCGATCTCCAGGTCATACGCCTCGCGCATGTCCGGGCGCTTGGCGAACACCAGCAAAATGGACTGCGACAGCTGACGGAAGACCTTCTCCTGGAGCAGGGCCCCCTTGGCTTCCTTCAAGCGGGCCAGGTAGTCCGCATGGTCGCCGGCCGCCGTGTAGTCGGATGTCCGGTGGAGGGCCTGCATGGCGGCCGACGGGCCGGCCAGAGGCCCGGTCAGGGCCACCAGCAGCCGTAGCCCCGCGCGGAAGAGGTGCCGGTCCTCGCCGGACACCAGCAGCAGCGGAACCAAGTCCATCTCGACAATGCGCCAGCGGATTAGCTGGCGAATGACCAGCCGCAGGCGACTTTCATCCTCGCGGATGTACCGGGCAAGGTCCGCAAGACAGGCTGGACATCATGGAATCCACCGAGGCCATGGCGGGACGAGGGGGCAGGAGCAGGTCAATCGCCGGCTGTCTGGGGCACCCGGGCACAGAGATCCGCGAAAGGGGCCACGTACCGAGGCAATCATCGCCCTTCACATAGGTCGACTGGCCGGTGGCCGGATCGAGGACCGAGGTGCCAAGGCCGGAAACCGTGATCTGGAGGAGGGTTTTCCGCGAGTCCAGCAACTTATGATCGAGGGCGTTGGCGAGAGGGCCCTCCATGATGGCGGCCAGGGGGGGGGGGG